CACAGGGCAGCATGAACAGCAGGCTCTTCCCCTCGCCGGTGCCCAGGATGACGACGACCTGCTCCGTCCATGACATGACGACCGTCATCGCCCGCTCCTGTGCGGCCGACTTCCACTGCAGCTTGTCGTCGTGGTAGAGCCCCCTCGCGCACTTCAGCAGGGCTGCAGCAGACCACCTCTTCCGCGGCCGGTGCACGCCCACGGCAATCCTCTTCAGCATCCGCGGCCTGTCGGACCCTGCCACCTCTGCCGCCTCGCGCTTCCTCTTCCCTGCTGCTGCGACCGCATCCCCGAGCACCGTGTCGAGATCCCACAGCCCCCTCCACAGGGATGACGCGCGCAGGTTCCGACGGATGAGGCCATCCCACACATTCCCAAAGTTCGCGTTCAGCTGGTTCGCGTAGCTGCGGTTCACCACCCGCGTGCTGTGGTTCCGCTGCCTCGTCATGGTCCGGATGTCATCCTCCATCTCCTCTGCATCCTCATCGTCGTCGTCGGCCCCGATGCCCTCGAAGCACGCAAGGTCGCCCGCAAACTTGGTCTTCACAATGTTGACCGTCATCTGGCGCCAGTTGGCGATGTGCAGCCGTGGCACCTTGGCCCGCACGCACGCCTGCTCCATGCACCGCGTCAGCCGGTTGTCGGCCCACACGGCCCCGTCCTTCCACCACAGGTACGCGGACATGATTGCGCGTGGGGAGGACTGGCGCAGGAAGGCCTGGCGGAGCGGCACGACGTAGACGAGGTAGTCCAGCAGGAGGTCTCCGATGGCGGCTGGCAGGAAGCGGATGTTGTCCTTGAACCTGCCCGTCTGCTGCTGGCCCTTGTGGTAGGTGGTGTGCAGCATCACGAGCCCGTGCTTGAGGTAGACGCTACGCCTCCGCTGCGTGTTGCGCCAGGTGAGGGAGAACAGCTCGCTCTCGCGCAGCGGCTGGCCCGAGGCCATGTGGATGAGGACGAGGAGCCGCTTGAGGAACTCGTCAGCGACGGCCTCGTACTGGTCGATGGCCTTCTGTCGCCACATGACCCTCGTGACCCCTGCATCAGCCTCTCCATCCTCTCCATCCTCAGCAGTAGGTGCAGCAGTGGTGTCGAGGAATGACGCTCGGAGTGACTGCGACTCCCGTATGACATTGCGCAGTGAGCCCGCGAGCGGCTTCAGCAGTGCCGCGTTCTCCCGGTGCTCGCCAAAGTGCCAGCTAAAGTTGTCGGCGTCGAGGTTGTCCTTGAGTGCCCACGCGCGCATCCGTGGCAGGCCCGCTGCGCCAAACATGAGCTCGCCGTGCAGCAGATGCTGCGCCTGCCTGAACTCCGACAGCAGCAGCTGCTGCACCTCGTCCATGTTCAGGTCGACGTCCCTGTAGGTGAGGATCTGCTCGTCCTCGTCCCAGTGCGCCTGGTGCGAGCCCACTCCGTCCTTCGACACCGCGAACAGCAGCAGGCGCCAGCCCAGTATCTCGCCCATGGGCGTCTCCGTGTCCGGCCGCAGGTACTGCTCGCAGATGCTGTTGATGTGCTCGAGCGTGCTGCCGGCGCCCGACCTCTCGAGGTATGCGGCCGTGCTGAAGATGAGCAGCTGCACAGCCCAGATCAGGCCGGACAGGCAGCTGTTGAAGTTGCCCGGCTCCTTCCACGACTTGGTGCGTGGCTTGACGCTCAGCATCGCGCAGAAGCTGAGGAGCGGCGAGCTGAAGCGGTCGCCGCCGAACTCGTGGCAGACGAGGGCCATGCAGAGGGATCGGAGGGCGTCGTTCAGCGCTAAGCGGTCTCCGTCGGCAGCGCACTCCAGGGCGGCCTCCCAAGCTGTCGTCTGCTCGTCCGTCAGCCGGATCCGGTCCTCGGGGCGCCTGCCCTGGTCCGCGCTCAGAGGTGGCGTGAAGTGGCTGCCGCAGTAGGCGACGCGGTAGCAGTACGCCATGAACTGCTTCCAGTACCCAAAGTTTGTGCGCAGTGTGGATGGCTCCTTCTTGGGGTCGAAGCCGCGCACCCTGCCTGCCCTGCAACTGGCTGGTGCCGATGAGGTAGGGGCGCCATGGAAGCGGCTCAGCGCGAGCTGCCTCGGCCACGTCAGCATGCAGTCCGGCCCGTCGAAGCACCAGCCGTGCACCTCAGCGAGGATCTCGTCCATGACCTCGAGCATCAGGAACAGCTCGGGCTCTCCCTCATCTGCGCTCTTCGGCAGCGCAAAGGAGGCGTGCATCTCGTCCTTCTCTAGGCCCCGCACGTGGTTCTCGATGCCAGTCCGCCTCAGCCACGGGACCGCAGCCGAGGGGTGGCTGTCGAAGCCGTGCACCTTGTTGCCCTCCGTCTTGATGTCGTCCGCTACCATGGTCGCGTCCGCGTCGGCCAGGTCGAAGAAGGCCTGCTCCTGCGGCTCGAGGGCGATGGCGGCAGTAGCTGCGTCCCCTTCCGCCCTGTCGTCGTCTGTAACCACAAAGTACCGGACATGCTCGGTCTTTGCGAAGAAGGTCTGCACCGTGCATCTCTGCCACGCGCCACCCTCACTCTGCTGCGACGGCTTCTGCCCGTGCTCCCGGGACACGTGCGCCCTGATGGCCGGCCCGGACCGGGTCAGGGTCGGCCGGCCGTCGTCGCAGAGGATGCAGGAGAATGCCGGATGGCGGCGCAGTCCCTCGATGGCGATGCAGGGCTGGTCTGGCAGGGCGACCTGTCCCGGGGGCCGCAGCTCATGCGTCGCGAAGAGGTCGAGCAGGGTGCGCAGCTCCGGCCCCTTGAGGTCGTGGGGTGGGTGCCTCAGGTGCCACTCCTGGCTGGCGCGCGCGGGCATGAGGCAGGTCCCGCAGTCGCGGCAGAGCAGCACCCCGTGAGTTGCGAGGTAGGAGAAGCTGGCCGCCATCCTTCCCTTGCGCGAGCGGTGTGTGTGCGCTATTCGCCCTTCGTTGCATGCTCTGTATGCGTGCTTGATGCGCCTGCGCCGTCCCGGGGGTCTCCCAATTTGCTGCACAATAATCGCTCCACAATGGCCCGTGCGCGCGCGAGCGACAGGGGTCGCTCGCGTGGGGATTCCCAATTTGCACTACAGATACGGCCGCTTCTAGGGGTAGGTCTCTGACAAACTGGAGCGAGAGTTTGATGTTTTCTACGACCCTCTTCCTCACTGGCTTCGCTGTACCGGCCATATCATAAACCTGGCCGTGATGGAATTTCTCATAGGAAAACGGCCGCGGACGACAGGCTCCTATGGTGGGCCGTCCGAAGAGGAGATTGAGGAATGGAGAAAGCGAGGGGCGATAGGAAAGCTTCATAATATCGTGGTCTATATCACTTGGACCCCCCAGAGGCTTCAAACGTTTACTGTTCTCACCGACGGCCTCAGGCTACGGCGTGACAATGACACTCGTTGGAATTCATGGTACCAAATGGTTGAAAGGCCTCTCAGGCCTAAAGTCAGGCAAGCTATCACCGTATTTTGCGCACAAGAGCCTGCTCTACAAGAGGATGCCCTGACTCCGTCTGATTGGGTAACTTTGGCTGAGATTCACAAATTTCTGGAACCATTCCACGACGCAACAATGGCCAACGAGGGCGTTCAAAATTCCATCGCCGACGTTCTTCCCACCATGGATTATCTCCTACACCACATCGAGGCCGCCAGGGAGGCCACCACCATCCCCCACTTGGCTACGATGATGGAGACTGCTTGGGCCAAACTGGCCGACTACTATGAATTGACAGAAGACTCTCCAGTCTATTCAGCAGCCACAGTCTTAAACCCTTCTTTCAAGTGGGCATACATGGAGAAGACTTGGGAAGACAAGACGGAATGGATTGAGAGAGCTAAATCTCGGGTAGGGCAGCTGTGGAGGCAATCGTACAAATCAACTTCTTCCTTGCCGGTTCTTCGACCAGGCTCAGCAGAGGAGCCAACTACGAGGCGGCTAAATGGGTACAAAATGTGGATGAATGAGCAGAAGGCGACGATTTTCAACACAGACGATGACGAGTACGAAGTGTACTGCCGTGAGCCTGTTGTGATGACACCAGACCCGCTGAAATGGTGGCTGGAGGTGGCCCAGCGAAAACGATTCCCTAGCTTGTCATTGATGGCCATTGACATTCTTTCTATTGCAGCCATGTCTTCTGGGACAGAGCGACTCTTCTCGAAATCAAAACTTACGGTAACCAATCAGCGAGGAGCTATGGACGCTGAAACTTTAAATCTCGTAGAATGTCTACGTTCCTGGGACAGCAGCGCCTTGATAGTCCCATCAGATGTGAGTTTTCTGCTTCGTGAGGACTACCGTCAGCTAATTGCAGAGTCCAGTGTCGCTATGTCGATGCGGCTGCTGGGTTCAACCACTCTGATGCATTGGGGCGCGATGAGAGCGGTGGGGGATCAGACACAGTGGAGATGACATAGGGGAGCTTGGAGGTAGAATCGTAGATAGCAAAGGCTACAAGTCATATGTTGTGATTTAGACTAATAGTCCAGACTGCAGTCCAGACTGCAGTCTGGTCTGATGATGACGGACGGACCAACAGTCCAGTCTGGCAAAGACGGACCGGACCGTCCGTCTGGTCTGACGATAACGAACAGACCAACAGTCCAGTCTGCCCATGACAGACTGACGACTAGTCCAGTCTGACCATGACGGACCGACTAACAGTCCAGTCTGAGGTTTCCAGACTGACTGTTTGGACTATTAGGAGCGCTGACTTACAGTGAGTTTGTAGCAAGGATGTTGTAGAAAGAGTAAAGAAAGAGGTAGAGGTTGAAAGGTATGTGTTTTATTTGAAGGTATGCATTGTAGTGTTGTTTAGAACAGTAATTATTTGCAGGTGAATATTCCTTGACGAATATAATTGTTTGCAACTTTAAAAAAACAACAACCTTACAACCAACCACCTTCCTTGGTTACGTTCCGATCTACACATTCTTCTTCTCTTTTGCGCTTTACCTCTTTACTAGGACCTCAAGTTTATTATCTTGATTCTACAGTCAGAACTTCTGATGATCTTCTGCTAATCACGTGTTTAGCATGGCGAAACGCAAGGCACCTGAAGAACTCTCCACTAATTTGAATACTATCAAAGCTCGCAACCGCGTCTCCAACCTTACTGAAGATGAGAAGGCTGTTCATTTAGCACTCAAGGCTGACCATGGCGATCTGAGCTACTACTTAAAGAAGTTATACAAGTCTGCAAAGTATATCGCTGCCTCTGCTGAAGACAAGACACGTCTACAGAATGAATTGAAGGTTGAGCGTATTCGTGTTCGGTAAGTTCCTTCTGGTAATCTCTGGTAGCCTTAATCTAACTATAAACAGGACTGAAAAGGGCACCCATGCATCTTGCATTGCGAATCAGAAAGTCAAGAATACTAGCGCCCCTTCTTCTTCTCCACAAGCCCCACCATCTACTCCGCCACAACTTCTGTCTGAGCTTGCTGCATTTGAGGGTATCACCAGTATCCCAATCGATGACGATCATAACAGCGAATGGGAGGATACTGAGGTTGAAGACGATTTAGAGTTGGAGCTTATGTTACGGCGCGACGATATTTTAAATGAAGAGGCTGTTCTACCAGATGAGCTTTCTGATGAAGAGATCGCTAGCATCCAGGCTCTCTTAACTCAAGCACGCATTGATGTTGGTACCTCATAGTCTGGTAATCTTCTGGTAATCTTCTGGTAATACTAACGGTTGATAGGCCCATGAAGAGTCCAATTTCCGCAAGTGGCAACATTTCTGGGATAGCTGTATCCGCTCATATACGAGAAAGGCTGGAAAGCTGAGAAAGAAGCCTGAGCATCTCTTTGAATATATGCCATGGATTGATGTAGAAGAAGGGTACGTCTCTGATCATTCTAGCAATCTTCTAGAGATACTAATTGTTTATTATAGCACTTTTCACAACGTTATCCCACCACATAAATATTTCTGTTTGTACGAGCAGGCAGTTTGGACAAACTTTACAGCTTGGAAGTTTGGAAAGTGGGCCCAATTACCAGGACCTGCGCAGTGGTACCCAAAGTCTTACAATCTTGTCGACAACGGATGGTTACAAGTCTCCACTCATAGTTCTAGCTTCAAAGAGGCGTTCTTACTTGTCTACTCTAAGAAATTTGATAAGGAAAAGTGGGCTAAGGTATCAGCTGCACAGGATATGTTGTTTCTGGAGTTAGAGTAGAGGAGAGAAATGGAGTATTTGATTTTCCGACGCGAATAGGGGCTATAGAGATTTAAGTATTTCATCGTAGCCAGACTTATGGTAATCTTCTGATAATCAAACAATTTGCTACTTGCCAAATGTCATCGCAATATTCAGAGTTGTTTGACTCTGACAATCCTATTTCTAATATATTCTCAGACTCTCTTCCCTCTTCTCAACGACTACCTTCATTAAATCAAATCCCTGCGGGCCTCGAATATACTGGCAAATTAAACCAATTCATCAAATGGACTAAGGATACACACGATGTATTCATTGAGTGGTGGAAGCTATCACGATGGTATGAACAACACTCAGATCATACTACAAAACTCCTTACGAAGATTGCATGGGATTCAACCAACCAGAGTTCTCAATACTGGAGAAGTTATCACCAAGGAGCAGACCGGCTTTCTGGAGAACCATGTGTCATTTGTACCTATTGTTCGAAGGCCCTTACGCATCCTGCAATCAAGTCTGCTGGCCCAAAGTCTATGGCAACACATCTTGCATCAGACATTTGCAAAAAGAAGTCACGGATGGGTAAGGATAGTCTCTATCAAATGCGAATCAATCAGATGCGACCTCAACAGGTAAGGATTACCAGATTATTACCAGAATTATATAGGCTAATATCTATAATAGGATCATATTCTCACACAAGAGGCATTTTACGAACAAGTTCTATACACAGTTATCTCAACTCATAGCTCGTTCCGCTCAGTCGAGGATCCTGAATGGAAAAGGCTTGCTATCTTACAGAATCCTCACTATCCACTACCCTCAGCAACAACTATTCGAAACCTCTTAACAACAAAGCTCACACAAATCGAAGAAGAGATGCTACAAGATGTTGTTCCTGGTTCAAAGATTGCATTATCGCTCGACTGTTGGTCAAGTGTTACTCGACTTTCATTTATGGGTGTTATTGCATCATTTATCGACCGTCATTGGAAAATGCAAGAGGTCTTGATTGGGTTTGAACCTATATATACAGAGCATACTGGTGCTGAGTTATGTGGAATACTTGAAAAAGTTATCACAAGGCAGCATTTAGAAGGACGAATTATATCCATTACGACTGATAATGCGTCAAACAACACTTCAATGATGAGAGATGTGGAAATAATGCTTGATAGTATTGCAGACAACGAGCATTTCATTGGAGGAAAAGTACAACACATACCCTGCCTAGCTCACGTTATTCAACTTGCCCTTAGTGCTCTCCTTGGTCGAATCCGGATTACGCCAACAAATCAAGAGATCTTAATAAACTGGGAAGAAGAGAATCAGATGGAGGGCCTTGCAAAGTTGCAGAAGGACAAGGGTATTGGATTTACACTTGGAAAGGTATATATTCTCTTGTTAGTTCTGGTAAACTTCTGGTAGTCTTTTCTAATATCTCATAGCTCCGGAAGCTCACTATCTTTGTTAATTCAAGTCAAACTCGAAGGAACAGGTTTATGACTTTGCAAAAGGCAAACATGAACCGGGGTCAATCATCTCAGAGGCTTCTTCGACTTATTCAAGATGTATCAACTCGATGGGATTCGACATGCCATATGCTTCTGCGAGCACAGCAACTCAAGTCAACAATCAATCAATATACTCGAGGCGATCATGGTGCTCACATGTTCAGACTTAGCGAGCTAGAATGGAAGCACATCGAATACATCATTGATCTTACAAGGCCATTCAACTTCTTTACAACAAACATTGGATCGTCAGCCGGACCTACTGTCTGCTATACACTTGGAGTATATCAAAAACTCTTATCAACGCTTGAAGGAACTCGGCACCGGCTACGGCATAAGACATATCCATGGGCAGCAAAGATGACTTTAGCAATCGATGCTGCAGAGAAAAAGATTAGGAAGTATTATAACAAGCTATACACAAATACTGGATCTATCTTCGCATTTGCTAGTATCTTAAATCCTAGTGTGAAGCTCTCACACTTTAACAAAAAGGTTTGCAAGCTTGACTTTTCAATACGAAATTGGGAGACAGAGTTTGAACAACAGTTTAGGACTCTTTATAAAGAGCAGTACTCTACAGTGCGAGTTGCGAGTCAATCAGGATTACGAGATGCAGATATGGATCCATTAGCCTTAGTATTGCAGCAAAGTCAGACATTAAATGGGACTCGGGGCCAGCGAGAGGAATATGTGAATGAGGCTGATCTCTATCTTGATGCTCGTAAGTTTCTGGTAATCTTCTGATAATCTTATTCTAACTTGTATAGCACATATCTACACAAAGATATTGCTATTTTGGCAACAAAAGGAAGAGCAATTTCCTGGTCTATCAGCAATGGCTCGTGATATACTTTGTATTCCTGCTGCTGAGTCTGGAGTTGAGCGAGTCTTTAGTGCCGCAAGGGACGTATGTGGCCACCGACGTGGTCAACTTAATCCTGAGACGATTAAGAGTATTATGCTTATATATTACTCTCGACAATACAAGAATCGTCAAGGTCATCGTGACAAGCTTGCAGATATGATGGACGTCGTTGATATGACTGAGGAGCAAGTCGAAGAAGAGTATGAGGCACAACGACAACGGATGTGCAATTCTATCGAGTTACAATATATCAGCGATGAAGAAGAACCACGATCAAATACACATATCCGAGAGACATATTCAAAGGTACAATATCCTCCGTTTAATCCTCAGCGGCCACAGCAACAGCAAGACTTATCACAAGCTGCACATGAAGAACGACAAATGCGCTACCAACAAGGTGAAGAAAGAGATAGGGCTGACCGTCTTAACGAGACCTTATACGACATCCCAGATGACGATATCCCAGATAATGAAGATATAAGAGAAGATGGTAATAATGAGGAGCCTATACTTCCAACTATTCATGACGATGAAGATAAGGATATGCCGTCCTCGCCACCAACGCCTATCCAACACCCTCGGAAGACTGGAAGAGATCTACTTGATATCTTTCAAGCTACTCGTCAAGACCCTATAAATACTTTAGGTATTAGTAGGTCTGGCCGGCCTCATCAAGCAAGGTGGAAAGATGTTCTTGAGCATATATAATATAGTGTTCTGATAATCTTCTGATAATCGTGGTACTTAGATAGAGGAATATACGTGATTCGTTCTCACAGCTTATTAGAGATGGTAGAGTGATGCTGATAAATGTAATACTTTAAGTTAACTTACAACTGTAACCATAAAACAGTATTAATCGTATGAGGGACTGTTCACGTAATGCATATATCTTACACGTGACAGCCGAGTACTCACTGGGTTTTTACAGCAGTGTTCGGCAGATACTACCCAGGTAGTATCTGGGTCCTCGCCAGGTAAGGTAAGTATCTGAGCGACTTTGCTCAGGTAAGGTAGGTATTTACAGATACTTTAGCAGGTAGTTGAGCCTCAATTCCGTATACAAAAATGACGCTTTTGATATTTGAAATAGATAATGATATGTAACTAGAATATGTAACTAGAAAAGTGAAACTCGTGACAAATATAATAATAAAATAGACAGCCCCTATTCCTATTCTTCTGCCTCATCATCTGCATCATCACCGTCGCTGTCGGCATCTGGTAAATAACCCCAATTCCGTAAGCAAAGCAGATATCTAATTGTCGATGGCGACAATCTATTCCTTTTCTTAGTAATGATATCGCTACCATTGCTAAATACCCGTTCTGATGGTGCTGATGTCGCAGGAATTGCAAGATGGTCTCGAGCAACTTGAGCAATTATTGGATATTGATATTGCTTTGCAGACCAATATTTGAGAATATCAGTATGCTCACCAGGCCGTGGTTCAAGCATCCATCGTTTCCATTCTGGTTCTTCAAATGATATACCCTCTGATGCAAATAAATCTTCATCAGAATCTGGTTCTTGCACTCTAGTATTTGCATTTCCTAATGCATCTGCAAGAGCTGTTTCACGTTCAATACGCTCTGTATCAAGATGATATTGCCGTGTCTTATATGTTCTACAAACATCTTCAAACTGTGCTCTTGCCCGTGTGATTCGTACATGATCTGTACTATCTGGATATATCTTTTTAAACACTGTATGGTTCATCCGTGGATCGCAAATTGTAGCTACAGCTGAGTGCTTACATTGCTGATTTGTTGCAAGAGTATAATACGCGTGAAGCTTTTGATAAGCTACTGTGCATGCAATACCAATTGCTGAGTGCTCGCCAACTTCTTGTTGCATCTTCTTAACTTTATTTATCATTTTAAGATAAAGTGGAATAGCAAAGTTAAGTGACGGATATGTATCACTTTGTAGCCGTCTTGATGGTTTGAGAAATATTAAGAACAGTCGTTCAAGATCTTTAATAACAGCCCAATCTCCTGTAGTTAATGCAATATCTTTCATACTAATATCAAGCTGTTGTGTTATGCATACTGCTGTGATTGGTATTTGGAGTTTTAATGCTGTATCAAGCATACGATGTGTTGAATTCCATCGTACTGGCATATCAAGTGATAGTTGCTGTGGTTTTAAACCTATAGCTTTGACTTGTCGTTGTAAAGCATCCTTCCATGCTCGTCGATTACGAAAGACATAGATATGTCTTCGTAGCTTTGCAAGAGCATTCATGACTTCCACATGACTATCTCTACTAAATGGAATCCGAGCTGCACCTTGCTCACACCGGTATGTCTCTGTCTCTACATCTGGTTCTGCTTTTAAACTCGTAAGAGCGGCTTGAACTGCGAGATTTATGATATGTGCAATACACCGGACATCGCCTTCTTTGACAGTAAATGTCCAAGGTTGTTGAGTTGATGTTTGGGCGTTGCTAGCCAATTTCTCATATTCTGAGAGCATCACAGTATTTGATGATGCGTTGTCTCGGGTGCATGTAAAGATAGCGCCTGTAATAGCTATACTATCTGTTACAGCTGCTAATTGCTGAGCTAAGTATTCACCGCTATGAATAGGCTCTTGAAGATGTATCACATCAAGCAATTTTGATTTCTGCTGCCATTTATCATTAATCCAATGAGCGGTAACAGCAGCATACTCTGTATAGTTCCGTGCAGACCATGCATCTGTCGTTATGGATATCCGGCCTCCATGTATAATATGAGAATGGAGTTCAAGCTGTAGTATGCCTCGGTGATATGAGAATTGGCGTTGTAGTTCTCGGTGCAATGTTCTTGACGAAAGTGATAACACAGATGGACTTAAGAACCGTACTAATTGACGATATGAATAGCTTTCGATAATGCGTAAAGACAGGTTATTAGATACTATAAACGATAGCACTAACTCTCTATATTTGGCTGGATTGTTTGTTGGTCTTGATTCATGGGTCGCTGGTCTCCGAGGCTCAAAAAATGATGATGTGCTGCTAGATTGACTTGAAGGCGCTGTATTCTTGTGTTTAAGAGCATCATAGATTCCTTTATGCTTAAGACTATAGTGTTTCCAAAGATTGCCAGTTGAAGCAGCAGCTTGAGCATGGGTTTGAGCTGCGGGCGAGTATCCGCAATTAGGCTGCATACAGCATACTTTGATAGTTGGCGGGTTGCTCTCAAGTAGTATTCTTGAATATAGTTCCTTCGTGAACAGCAGCGACTGCGTTGGCGGTAGCATTTGGCTAGGCGGGTGTAGACGGACAGGAATTGGATTTGATTGCTGAAAAAGGGTAAAAAGCCCTGGTAGGGCTGGCTCATCGTGAGGATTATAGCCATCAAGGTCCGTCGGCACGTCTGACAACGGAGAGTCACTCATTTTCACGGCAATTATCACCATATCAAGCATGAAGACGAGTATTTCAACGTTAGCATTTGTGCGGCTTGGCTACACTTGGCAATACTTGGCATGTATCTGGGTAAGTATCTGAAAATACCGGGATACTCAGGTATTTTGAGAATGAGCCCAGGTAGGTAATTACCCAGGTAATTACCTGAACACCACAGGTAATCAGGTATCTGTGCCGCACACTGTTTTACAGAGTAACTGAGTATTGGCCTCACTCACCGAGTCGAGTGAAAGGTTCAGCTACTCACCCAGCTGAGTAACCCACTGAGTGAGTGAGCCGAGTATTGGGCGAGTAGTGCGCAGCCTAGGCTCCACCTGCCCCTACCACTCGACAAATCCGAAATAACTCTCTCACTTAAACTCGTATCAGAAATCGGAGGTAGCCATTCTGTTCCGCTTGTAAACCTCTGTCAATGGTGGTGTCGAACGATAAATTCCGCCCGCTCCTGCAGAACATGTGACTCTTCTCATACCTAGCCCCCCACCACCCTTTGCCACCCATCGGAATCTGGAATACCTCGGCCATTTCAAGCCGTATCAAAAATCGGAAGACGTCATTTGATTCCCCTCGTAATTCTCCTTCAATGACGATATCGAACTTTATATTCTACCCATCGCTGCAGAAGCTATCGCCACTCACGTGCCATGCCCATACTGCACCCTTGCCACCCGGCGGAATCTGGGATATCTCCATCGTTTCAAACCGCATCGTAAATCGGAAGACGCCATTTTGTTCCCCTTGTAAATTTCTTTCAATTACGATATCGAACGTTTGATCTTGCCTCTCCGCTCTGCATTTATACCACTTCCCGTTCTATGCCCTCTTCTTCTTGCCACCCATCGAAATCCAATATAACACGATCATTTCAACTCGTATCAAAAATCGGAGGACGCCATTCGATTCCGCTTGCAAATCTCCCTTAATAACGATACTGAACGTTTGGTTTCGTCTGTTGTTGTAAAAGTTATTAGCCTCTGAAAACTATGCTCAGCCCCCCCCTGCCACTTACCGCCTGACAAGATCCGCCATAACTTGTTCGTTTCAACTCATATCAACAATCAGAGTATGCCATTTTGTTCGTCTTGCAACGTTGTCCAATTTCCCCTATCGAACGATAGATTTGATCCATCGCTGGAGGCGTTATTAGCCTTCATAAACTATACTCAGCCAGTCCCTCAGCCACCAAGCACCTGACGAAATCCGAAATAACTAACCCATTTTTTCTCGTATCAAAAAAAGGAGTACGCCATTTTGTTCCCCTTGCAATCCTCTTTCAATAACGCTATCGAACGTTAAGTTCAGCGCACTGCTGCACAAGTTATACCACGTCTCATATGTAACCATCCCCCTTGGCCTTCCTACCCACTGCCACCCGTCTAAATCCGGAATATCTTCACCAGTTGAACTCGGATCAAAACTTGGGATACGCCATTCGATTCCCCTTGTAAATATCTTCCATTGACGATACCGAACGTTAAGTTTCAGACGTCGCTGCAAAAGTTGGAATCCTTCTCACATGTTACCATGGGGCCCCATTTCCTGGGCCCGGCCCAACAAATCCGAAATAACTCACTCGTTTCAAGTCGTATCAAAAATCGTAAGAGGCCATTCGATTTCTCTTGCAAATCTCTTCCAATGACGATATCGAACGTGAAGTTTCCGCCGTAGCTGCAAAGGTTATAATCCCTCAGAGTAGGTGCTCCACCACCCCTACTGTCCCCCAGCGAAATCTGCAATATCTCACCCGTCTCAACTCGTATCACAAATCGGAGTACGCCATTTGATTCGTCTTGCAAATCACTTTTATTAACGCTATCGAACGCACCATCTGCATGCCGCGTCAGGATATTACAATCCATCCTATAACATGCTCCCCCAATCACCCCTCCCATGCATCGCCCGACCAAAACCGGAATATCTCCACCATCGAAAGTCCGATCAACAATCGGAGTACGTCAATTTGTTCCCCTTGCAAAGCTGCACAGGAAACGTCAGCGAACGTTCCACTCGATTGCGAGACCGTCAACCTACCGTCCCTGCAAGAACGTGAGTCCGGAAATGGACCAGGAGACAAGCCCTCTACTCCTCCTCACCTGGCTGCCGGTTGCTCTGCTTCGTGAAGAAGAGGCACGAGTACCGCGTGCCCTCGAAGGGCGCGATCCAGTGCTCGAGGACTGCAGAGCGGAACAGGACAACATCCCCTGGCTGGAAGGGAATCCTATAGCCAAGGGCTGGCAGGCACAGCTCCCCTCCCTCAAACTGAGTATCAGAGCGAGAGTGTTGCCTCGAAATATTCCAAAGGCTAGTCTGGCATTCGAGCTAGGGTTAGCATAGATGGTAGTTTACTATACTAATTACTATAAACCCTTACGCTCATCCCTCATCATCTCTAACATCCTACATGCTTCTCGCCATACTAACATCCAATTGCTCTCAACCCTATTCATCCTTTCTTCCCTCTCCTTCATCCATCCCCATATCTCCTCGGGATACCTCCCTTGGAACCCCCCTACTTCTGCCACTCCTTGTAAATACCCCTGTTGGAATAATATGAATATCCCTACTAGCATCACCCCCTCATACTCACACCTCTCTTCTGCCATCCTCACAACCCCCCCTTCCCACCGTCGACATACCTTACTGACAATCCACACTCTTCGCACTGCCCTAGTCCTCTTAAATCAACCCCCCCACGCCATTCCTCATACCCTGCAATCCCACATCCCTCCATTTCTGCTTCCATACAATCAACGTACTCGTGCTGCCTCCCTTTGCCATATACTAGCTCGCAATATATGCATCCCCCCTTTAACCTATTCATCACCCCTCTCATCTGCTCTTCCTCTTCTTCTACCTCTTTCATCTTACTCTGAATCCTGCCACCCGTGCTTTCCCTGCCATCATTCCTACTACCATCATTTATAGTAACCTTTATAGTAATCGCCTCCTCCTCACCTCTCTTCCTTACTGCCACTTGGCTCAAACACAAATCGCATAGCACGCTGTCCGACCCTACACAGCTCACTCCCTCTACTACCCCATCAAAGTAGTGCCCTAATACTACTCGCCTGCACTCCCTGCTCTGGATATATTCCGTCATTGCATCCTCATCCACCTGCTCCACTGAATACTCGCTCATCAACCCTTGACTCTTTACCCCTACACTCTGTACTAGTGTGACGATTATCGACTCACTAACCTCTCCCTCTCTTCCTCCCCTTCCTGACTGTTGAGCAAAGCTCGTCAATCCATATGGCCTATCAATATGCACCACATATATGATCCCTGGAATATTAATTCCTGTCCCTAATGCTCCTGTCGCCACAATCCATCCTCCACTTCCTTGAGCCCACTTCTGTAGTGTTTCGCCCTTATCATCTGCGCGTGCCTTGTAAATGAGCACTCTAAAGCACTGCTGATTAAGTCGCCAGTTGCATAGCTCCGTACATAAACCACTCCACGTTTCCCATCTGGCAAGTATAGTAGTCTTTCTAGTAATCGAAGTCCGACCGCAGATGCTGCTTCTTCCTTACTATCCTGCACCTGATATCGAATGGTCGGCCGTGCAGTGCTCCATCGTAGTAGTACTGCATCCTCAATTAATAGCCTGTCTCGTAATACATCGTCTAGCTCAACCATCAATGTGGCTGTTAATGCTGTAAATGGACACTTTAAGTACCGTAGTTTCCACAGCTCTCGAAGCCGCTCTCGATATGATGTATCTGTAAATGCAACATGGCATTCATCAAAGAACATGTGAGCTAGCTGCCCATTCAACTCGTACCCCTTAGCCTTGTGGAGAAACTGCCCACTGACGGCCTGGTCAGCACTGACAACCAGCAGCTGCACCAACTCTTGACTACTATAATGATTACTATAGCTCCACTCTTTACAGTGCAGCCCAGCAGCCTGTCCTCGAGCCACGATATCTTCAACTAGTGCTGTGAATGGAACGACCACAATCACTGTCTGGTCAACAGCCATGGCAGCCACTGAAAGAACAGCACTGACTTGCCACTGCTTGTGGGCAACACGATAATCGATGTGACTGGGGGCTGGTGAACAAGTTGTAGTGCTGCAGCTTGTCCTTCAGATCGTGGCTGCGCTTGTGGGCCATAGATCCGTCGCAACCCATCTAATGCCTTTGCCTTCACCCCATGCTTGCTCTCTCTCCTCTCTCGTTTGATGCCAAACTGGTGTTAATTGCTGGCTGGCTTGTCGCCCATGCTTTCCTTTCCCCTCAGCCTGTGCCAACCCTAACAACTCGTGCCATGCTACTGAAGCTTGCTCATATGCTGTGATTAACTCTGGGCCTAGTCGATGCAAGAATGCTCCGTCAACTGCATAATGAGCTTGGGCTACTCTCTGCCCATGCCCTGATTGTCTGTTTAATGTTAGTACTAATTACCATAATGATTACTATAATAATTACTATAAACAATAGTACCATACTATGGTACTACCATAAATAGCGCTTACTATATCATTACTATAAACTCAACCTAACCATGATATGTCGGAATGTGTTCTGCTCCAACTCTTCTTCATCATCACCCTCTGCAAACTCTCCTTCATCCTCTTCATCGTCCTTCTCCCACGTCTTGCTTGCTCGTAGTAAAATGCCGTACAGCAATTCCAATGGCTACGTGTCGCCAGCTCTGCACTGTCAACCGTACACCTAGCCCCTTACTTGTTGCCTTGCTTAAAGCTTGCGTGAGCTCTTCTCCTGCCCATGGCCCTCGATTATCACCAAACAAGTACTCTGACTCTCGTTGGTCTAATGCCCTGCCAAATGGTCGGATATATATCAAGTACTGTGCTAACACTTGACTGACCTCATTGGGCAAGAACCGAACAATGTAATCTGTGTTTCCCCTCCTCTTTCTTGCCTTATCGTACATGGTTAAGAAGCACATCTGCCCATTAATGACGTATATGTTCCGCGCTGAATACACACTGTTACTAACCTTGATCGATCCAATCTCTGGTCCTCGAGCTGGCTGGCCACCTGTGACATGCAAAGTAACCATCAACTTTCGTAAGAACTGACGCTCTTGATTCAAGTACGCCTGCTTCTGTGAGTCGTTCCATTTGTATGATCCATCGCCTGCTCTTTGAAGCAACTGCCACTCCTTGCTTCCCTTCCTTGCACGTTTAAGCAGATACTGATAACCTACATCCGTACGCTCTCGATTCTTAACATGGTTGATGAAGCTGTACTCAGACTGTCGAAATTTCGTGTTCCAAGCCATGCTGTCAACGATCTGGCTCAAATCTACCATGGGCAGCTCTGAATCAAACGCCAGATTGTATAGTAATTTGTAGTAATCCTATCAAGTCATGGCACATTTCCCTAACCTTTTCAAGCTCAACTCCCATTCCAAGATAATAAATCGTCTGTTCATCGCGTGACCAGTGGATGTTCGCTGGCGACTCATGCAGCTGGTTATACTTCTTCCCCATAGCTAATTGACTCAAGATGCTTGACGTTGGTGAGAATGAGCCTTCACAGAGATGGGTCCTCCGTAGCTTGTGGATTCGCTCGGGAATTGATTCAATATCCTCTTTGCTCTGGAGTCTTAATTCTGGCCATGGCTCTAATGGTACTGCGATCTCAAGCATAAGCAGCCGTGTGATCCATAACACACGTCCAAGTATTGGTGTGTATGCAAGTGGTGGATATAGCGATTTGGTAAGTGGATCGATCCCACGAACAGCTAAGTAATGCATCAATGGTGACTCGTACAGCCCAATCTTGCTAGTGTCCTGCATCACGACTAGCATGCACAGTCGCATCAATTCGGCTGTGAGTAATGGATCCTGATCGTCTTCATTATTGGGTTCAGTTTGCAAGTGCGTATGGATCTGTTGGATTGACTGCCACTGAGCATGGGTGAATTCCACGCCAGTTTCTAATGAAGTCAGTATAGTAAATATTATAGCAATCATTATAGTAACCCTTCACACACGTTGCCAATGTGCACTTCGCGCAGATGGTTTTGGGTTATATACTATAGTAACTACTATAGTAACCATCTACTCACTGTGTAAAGCTGTGCGCTTCACGCAGATGGGTCTGGGTTTGATTTATCCTACCACACAACCCTCCACACACGTTGTGTGACGCCGTGCGCTTCGCGCAGATGGGTTTGGGTTTGATATATCCCACCCCCTCCACACACGTTTCGTGATGCTGTGCGCTTCGCGCACATGGGTCTGGGTTTGATATATCCTACCACCCAACCCTCCACACACGTTGCAAGACGCTGGTGCGCTTCGCGTGGACGGGTTTGGGTCTTCTATAGTAACTACTATAGTAAACACCCACACGGGTCTGGGTTTGGTATATCCTACCACCCAACCCTCCACACACGTTGCGGGACGCTGGTGCGCTTCGCGCGGACGGGTTTGGGTCATATACTATAGTAACTACTATAGTAAACACCCACACGGGTCTGGGTTTGATATATCCTACCACCCAACCCTCCACACACGTTGCGGGACGCTGGTGCGCTTCGCGCGGATGGGTTGGGGTCTTCTATAGTAACTACTATAGTAAACACCCACACGAGTCTGGGTTTGATATATCCTATCACCCAACCCTCCACACTCGTTGACGCCGTGCGCTTTGCGCAGATGGGTTTGCCTCTTCCATAGTAACCACCATAGTAACCATCCACATACCTGTATCATCCTCCCAGTCAACTGTCGCCGTCCTCATCATGTAACAGATGAACCTCTGCCATACTGCACTACACTTATGAACCGACTGAACGCTCTGGTGAAGCTCGAATGGATGCTGGCTCGCAACCTCATTCTTTGGTGATGCCCACCACTTTAGTACATCCTTGTGGTCCATATTTGCTAGCGTATCAAGACAGCGTTCAAGAATCCGATCCCATGCACGTAACAGTCGTTGTAATTTGGTCTCCTTCTCCTCTGGCTCACGCGCGTATTTGTACGTCTGGATAAATATCAACCTGTGACTCCTGAAGAACCTCGTTCCACCCAGTGTATCGTAGCCATGGGTCTAGCTCATCAGCCGCGGCTTGGCTAGCAGTGTCAACCTGCGCTCCTGTGCTGCCTCCTTCCACTGCTCGATGTCGCGTATGATCTGGTCCTCAGCATCGCCTTCCTGGTTGCTGGCTTGCTCTTCCTCACTAACATCATCGCTAGACTGCTCTCCAACGTCGCGTACTAATATCATCAGCTGGTTA